AAAATCGATGCCTATGGGGAGAGGAAGAGTCCTTGGGTGGTGCAAACAGTTAAGAACTTAACAGCTACCCAAAAGGTTGGAAGAGCAAGTCCACCCAGAGCTAACTGGGAAGAACGGCCTAGAGTTATACTTCCAAAACACAAAAATCAGTCATTGAAAACCTGATGGAGCATAGCTCTACTTTGACATGCATAGGTCACCAAGAGTCAGAAACTCCTCAAAGAGAACAGAATGAGAAAGGGGCAGGGGAAGGGGGTGTGCTGGGGAAGGAGTGGAAATGAGACTTCCCAAAATATACTTTTTATATCCTTTTGGCATCTGAACCATAGTGATGTGTTCCTGCTCAAAAAAATATTGAATTCATTTTTGTAATGAAATGAATAATAAATGCGTACCGCGCGAAGGCAAGGTTCAGATCACCTTCCTGCTGACTTTCCCAGGACCACGTCTATATCTGCATCCATTAGCATCTCAACCCTCTACTGTGGATTCATGATTTAGGGCTCTAGTTATTCAGAGCTTCTACAGGTGGGATCATGATTTTTTTTAATTGCTGTTGCTGCTGTTTTTAATGTGCTGCAAGGTAAATACCAGCCCTTTGTGGACAGAATGAGATTTATTGCTTCCTGGGGAATCTGTAAAGCAAGGAGTGCAAGCCTCCATGGCATTTCTTTCTTGTTTTTCACCCCACACGCCTTAAAGCAACAAGGTGCACAGGGCAAGAGCACAACAGCATCTCAGAAAGAATTGCCGATGAAGGAGCTCCACCTCTTTCTTTCTTTCCAGGTTATCAGACTCTACTGATACTGTATCAGTATCAGACTCTACTGATACTGATGTATCTTACTGAAAGTATTAAAAAGTGAAGATTATAAGAGATGAAATCCTTAATACTTATGCGTATATACCAAAGAAGACTCGTTTTCTTTATTCTGAGATACTTCTCTGCAGCATTTCATGTGAAATCTGATGAATTAGAGAGAAATAAAAACGGATAGGACAAAATTCTCATAGATAGCAAGGAAACACCACTGCAGTGAGAGAACACGTTTTTAATTTATAGCTGAAGAAAAGATGGAAACAGTTCGCCAGGTGAATGTTCCAATGCTCATTATCTTCTCCCTTCAATAAATAAAAAAACCAATGTTTTCTAAATGTCTGTATCAGGTGGACACCAAAATGATAAAGCTCTGCCAAGTAAAAAAATTTAAAGATACATTCCTTGAGACTACACCTTCCCTATTTGTTTATAAGATATTCTTCATTTCTGGAGAAGCTGTTTATAAACTCAATGACATTTTCCCAATGATTTTCATTAAGCATAGAGACGTCATCCCCCAGAAAAATATTTTAGTTCCTGAATATGATAAAATATATGCATAAATATGAATGTGGCAAACTTTTAATCATTAGCAGTCATACTCTGGAGACGGTAAAATTAAGTTCTTATGGAAGAAACTTTATTCCTGTGGGGCAAACCCCCCACAAAGAAACTAAAACCCATGAACCCTTTTTCTTCCATGTCAACTTACTGTTATTTTATTTCCAGTGTCCAAAAAAATCCTGGCACAGAATTGGTGAGCAAACACGTGTGTTCATTGAGTCACCCAATAAGTGCATGTTCAATTTTATACCATTTTTAACCAGTTTATAGCCAGTTACAAATTTAGTAGTATATAATCCTTTTAACTAAGAGTAATTAGTATTCTACCACTTTGGAAATTCCAACCTTCTATTTCATTTGTTACATTTTTTAATAATTTGTAAACCTCTTCCTAATTGTTAAAAGCAAACAGTATGGTTCTTCAGCCTGTCAAGACCCTTTACAGAACTATTCATTTTGCATATTTCTTTTATGCAATGCCTTACAATTTTATTCTTGATAACTGCCATTGCTCGAATCAATGCCAAATAACAGAGACCTTCTGTGAGAACAGAAGTGCCTCATAGTGTCCTGGACGGGAATGTTCTTGGAGCAGATACCCAGGTCGCTTTCTATCTTGGAACAAACTGGCTGGTTTAAATGACCAGCCTTTCTATTAGCCGAGTTCTTTTTTTTTTTTTTTAACATTTTATTAGGGGCTCATACAACTGTTATCCCAATCCATACACACATCAATTGTGTAAAGCACATTTGTACATCGTT